CTAAGTGTACAGCAGAAGTCTGGGGAAGGAATGTCTTGGTCGCTGTCCTGTTGCTGAGACACAATTCCTGACGCCCACAACTCAAGGGAGGAGAGGGTTATTCTGGTTCCTGCTTCATAGTCGGGCGGCTCTGAGGCAGGACCGCATGGCAGAGGGCTCTGCAGAGGAGAGCTGCTCACAGCGTGGTAGGTAGAAGGCAGAGGGTGAAGGCAGGAGCCTGGGGGAGGGTGCTGCATCCTTCCAGGGCTTGACCTCGGTGAGCTGCCTCTTCTGACGGGCCCTACCTCCTAACAGGAAATGGGCTGCCCTGCCCCCTAATCCAATAACCTTCCAAAAACCAAGGTCATGAGTACATGAGGTTCCCAGGGGACTTTTAGATGCAAACTGTAATAAGGAACGAATGGTTAGCTCTTACACGTGTCCACAGTTCTCTCCATTTTTATTCCAGAAGGTTCCTCTCATCCTGGCCTTTGTCTCTTTCTCCTGGTCCAGAGTCTAATCCTTCTTGCTCCCACTCGCCGCATATTGGTGAAGCAGGCTGACTGGCCCAGACCTCCACTTCCAGGTGGCTCTGGGTCATTTCCGCCCCCTGCCCATCATCAAATGCCCTCCTTCCCTGTCCCATCTTCAATCGTGGGGCTGTTCTTTCCTGGGTGAAAAAAGGAAATCAGATAAGAGAATTAGTTGGGGCCAGTGTGACCTCCTCCACTTCAGCAGAAACATTTTATGGACAGCTTCACCTTGAGCTTCTCACATGGGCCATGGGAGCTCCCCTGGTCAAGCAGAAGTGTATCAGGGCTATTCGAAGCCGCAGGCTGAGTATATCGTACGTACGTACAGCCAGATGGTCTGGGTGAGTGATTTTACATGAAGACAAAGACGGATATCTTACGGAGTGGAATGTCAAGTTTCCATAAAATTACCAAGCCAAATGAGACCTCAAAGTCCCTTTAAGACTATGTATCATTGGGTATCATTTATTCCATGCTACCCTCAGCTTCCAAGAGGTAGGATTTACCCACACTGGTGTTGGGTAAGTTCTGGGGAAAGTATCAGTGGTGCTTACTTCTGGCTATACATGGGGCCTTTATGTCCCATCTTGAAGATTGGTGACCACACATGCATAATGGGCAGGGCTAGCGCTGAGGGCAGCGGGCAGTAAATCTATGTGCTTAGCAAGTCTTTGGGCAGATGTGTCATTTGAAGGTAACCATTTATCCCATGTAACACAGATCCACGGTCCAACATCTGCCACAGACTCATCACTGGTGTAGGCATGAGGAGGAGGCAATAAGACAGGCAGTTTCTGTTCTCAAGGAGACACAGTCTGGCAGGGAAAACACACCACAAGGAGAGCAGTGTTACTGAATATATCTATGGTACCAGATGCACAATTTTAAGGGTTGCAAGGATTCAGGAGCGTGGTGTTCTGGCTCCTGGGGGAGCAGTAGTTTGCCATTGATTGCAGTACTCGGGTGATTCCTGACATACAGAAAAGTCACTCGCTTTTATTTCCAGCCTCAGAATTAATTTTTTCAAGGCCTCATGCATGCTGGCCAAGCACCTTACCACTGAGATACACCTCCAGCCCTCCCATGGGATTCTGAATATTTTGCATGTTGCAAAAGAATGAGATATTGTTTATTAGGAAAACCTCCTTTGTTAATTTAGAGAGATTAAAGGTGCTATTCTTTCATCACACTCTTCTATAGTTTTTATCAATTGTTGAGAATAACAATATAATTGGTAATGCTTTAATAATAGTATATATCCTACTGTATTGTTTTGGGAATCAAAATTTGTTTGAGGTTTTTTTTTCCTCTAAAATCAAAGGAAATCAGTCTTCCTCCCTATCTTCCTCTTACCAGATGCTCTTGACTGCCTAACTGAATTTCAACATTACAATACACAGTGGTAAGAAAGCCAATAAAAAGACATCTGAATCCATTAAAACACCTTTCAGGAACACCACGTTACTCAGATAAATTTGTTAGGACGCCTGCCCTATCCAGCGAGGTTCTCTTGTCCCGAGTCATGACAAATAGATAGATGTCATCCCCTCTGCAGTGTGCTTTAGTATAGTTCTCCTCTGCATGCTGTTGAAAACCTTATCTTCTTTCAAGATTCATGAAAGAACCATTACAATTAATATGGCAGAAATTGTTAAGGCCCCCTGGGGACCAGCAGATAAAATTTCACAGCTCCAGTGCTACTAGAAAAATCCTCCGCTGCCAAAATCTAGGCACAGGAGCCTCCTGCTCCCTCAGGGTAGATGCACACTCTCTGGTGCTGTCAGGAAACCTTCAGTAGCATGGCTGTGTCTGAGGGAGGCTTCAGGCCCTTAGCTTTTCTCCTGAAAACACCTGGTTCTCGACACACGGCAGTGCCAAATGTGTCACTTGCCTAGTTTACACCGGGATGCGCTAACACTGGGCACCCGCATCCAACAGGGGCTCTCAGGTCCTCCTCGCCATTTGCACGCTGTGACTGAAACAGCCTCTGGGGACAGCACAAGGCGAGAGAACGGGCTGAATGGGAACTCCTGCGGTGGTTATGATGTCCGAGCTTCGTGGCCTGTCTTCTTCAGCAGGTTCGTCATTTGAGTTTTAAAGAAATAAAAAGAAAGAGTTTGTCAGGGAGGCTCCCCATCCAGCACCAATGCCCCAAGGCAGCTCTCCTGAGGGAACGGAGCAAAGACTTACTCATTACCAGGTTACTAAAGGCAAAAAAGTGTTTCACCATTACCGACACCAAGCTGCTAACATTCTTCATAACAAGGGAACTTTGGTCAGGGAATGTGGTCTCCTTGTTCTAAACTTCTACAACTGGCAAGAGACACAGGATTCCTGGGAGGTGGTGGGGCTTCCTGGAGGTGATTTCAGGGCTGTCTCTTGAAAGCATATTCACTTCATGGAAGAAAAAACACCTAAACTTCTCTGATTTCTTTGCATTTGTGCTTTCTTTTTAATCTCACTTTGCACCCCCGTTGTCAGCATTTCAGAACAGCTCCCGCACACTGCATCAGCATGGCCTCGAGCTCACCCAAGTCCTTAGTTTTGCTTTATATAAGGGAATCCATAATGAGCTCAACTGATGACTAAAGGCTATACTTTGGCTTGAAGACACTGTTTCTTTCCTTACAAAATGTCTGTTTAAAACATGGTTCTTTCTCATTTTTTTGGAATGAGCCAAAACACAAACAAAAATGCTCTAGAGAATATTTGCAAATTATCCATCCTAGTGGGACAAAAAGATGAAAAATAAAATTATCTTTAAAAAAACATCAAGAATGTGTTAGTGAATTGCCCAATGTGATAAAAATTATATACAATAAAATCGTGAGTTTTTTAATCAATTTAGCAATAGTATTAATACAAAACAATATCATGTTTTGTTTAATCAGAAAAACCTTCATCTTTTTTAATCTCTCTAGATATTGGAAACCCTTTCTAAATATAAAGGTTATTTGAACAGCAACAATGACAACACTGTCTTCTTCACGTGTCTCCATGACATCAGAGGAGAGCAGAGCTGTAGAAACATAAGAGGGAATCTCAGCCAACCCCCCTCACCTCCAGACAGGCCGAGGTGAGCTGCTTGCCCTGAGGCAGGCAGCTGCTCCAAGTCCCAGGGCTGAATGACGGAAGAGCCCGGCCTGATAGCTGGGCTCCACCTGCAGCCCTTTCAGCCACACCTGGGTCTCAGCAGGCGCTGCAGCTTCCTTAGAGAAGCAGAGAGACACTTGGAAATACGTTACTGATTCCATGACAAGAATTCCTCCTTCTCCTACAAGTGGGACACAGCAATTCCAGTCAGAAAAAATGTGTGATAAATGAAAATGCTAAGGTCTGCCTATTCTTGCTTCAAGAATCCTCAGAATGAGTTAGAAAGTGCCCAACCTTTTGATAGGGAGGCATCTGCAGAGGTTTTGAATGTTTCTGTCCTTTGGAAATCACCACACAATGCTAAATCCACCAGGTAACTCCTTACCATCTGGGGTGGGACAGATATGTCACAGAGCTGCTAGAGTACCTTTTGTAATTTAAACAAATGAACAAAAAAAATTCAAATGTAAAATGCTCTCTTTTTAATTACTAAATTAAGAAAGTTAAACAATTTAAAAATGTAAACTCACAAATCGTAACAAAAAAGGAGTTAAGACTTCAGGGTTGCTACTTGGTATTAAAAACCCAACAGAAATAGCATTTCTGATTTGTTGTTGTTAAACATGTAATTCAAGGTTGGTACAAACAGCAACTAAAAATGTAGTATTTTTTTTTGTGCATCCCCATGAAATGTAAAGTAGTGCATAGTTATTCCACTGAACTCTTGAACATATAAAGTCATCCATTAGCAGTACAGGACATTTAAAACACTTATTTTACAATGGGACATGTACAACCCCCCACCCTCACCTTCCCCATAAATTTTAGTTGCATGAGAAAGTTTAGTAGGTTGCCATGACTACAATGCTATGGGTTTTAGACCATTTAAATGTGGTTACAAGATTTATTAAATAAAAAACATTTGAAACATTTCAGCGTTCATATTCTTAGACAAGACGTTTGTGCAGTGTCCATCTTCCAGTTCTCTTGGTAGGATTGGATGCCCGCTTAAATACGCTCACTTCTAAGTTTCAAAACCAAATCGAAGCAAGTTGGAGCAAATACTGGTAACAGAACTTGTGAACTCAGCCCACGCGTTCCTGGTAAGAGTCAAAGTAACAGCCACCTAGTGTAGTCGAGAACCCAAAAGTGCAATTTAAATGAACAAAAAGAAAAAAAAAGCGATCATGCCTTGCAAAAACCAAAAAATGAGGCTGCTGGATTTCAGGATAACACCAGTGCTTCGATGCAGATAAAATCCTCCCTCTGGGTCCTGAGGCTGCAAGGCCCAGCTGACCACGGCTCCACATAGCACCCACAAGGTATATCTACAGGGACATATATTATGTATATTCATATTTATAAAAAAGAAAAAAAAACAAACACCTGTCCTGATTGGTTTTTGTTAAAACATGAAAAAAAATTTTATTGTTTTAGACAAAGAGGCCACTTTTGGAAAATAATACTTTTTTTAGTTGAATCAGGTGAAGACAGAGTTAAAATCACATAGGATTTGCATTTTTAAAAAAGGAAAGCACTAGGATCGTTGGCACTGGAGTAACTATTTACACTGAACAGAGGTTTGGCCTTTGACATAACATCGATACAATGCATTTTCCAAAGTCTGAGAAATAACAAGGTTCTGTCTCGTATGCTTCACAGAGGAGGTTGGATTTGGGGACAGTGTCATTAATGAGGGCCGTGGAAGTTCATCAGCTTCAGAGTCACATGCAATCTGATCCTGGACGGTTCTCGCTGCTGGGCAGCTGGCTACAGAATTGAAAGCTAATGGGGAGGGGCGGGGAGCCTCTGGGACAAGGCCTCTGTAGACCTGGCTCTCACAGGTTTTCCCCAGGCTGGTACTGGGGCTCCGTGGCGGTAAAGTAGTCTTCCAGAAAGCTCTGCAAGTACTCAAAAGTGGGGCGCTCTTCGGGGTCCTTTTTCCAGCAGTGGATCATGAGCTCGTGCAGGGAGATGGGGCAGTCCTGTGGGCAGGGCATCCGGTAGCCGCGCTCCACCTGCTCCAGCACCTCTCGGTTGTTCATACCTGCAAAGACAAGGGCAGTGAGCGCGGGCTGGGCCTTGGCCGCCCCTCTGGAGCTCCCCTTTCTTCCACTTGGGCTTGTGCGTGGTGAGAACAGGGGAGGCTTTTGTCATATCCAGGCGTCCAAGGCTGCCTTTCATGGGAAGCCATAGCCCTGCAGACCAACCCAGGAACGCAGAACTCACATGTAGAAAGTGTTCTGAGAGAGAGAAGCCAGACAGAGACAACGAATTACATGAGTTCAGTTATATAAAATTCTAGCAAAGGCTGGTTTGCAAGGTGGGAGCAAGGGTCAGAGGAAACTGGGCCGGGGAGGCCAGACGTGCTTCCTGTAAAGGGCAGCAGCAGGTATCTCTGCATCCTGGGCTGCATGTGACATGTGCCTCCTTTTTCACAACCCTGGAAAAAGTATAAAGCAGAACCAGGCAGGGACGCAGATCTGGCCTATGGACAGCGGTCTGCCGCCCTTGCTCTCCTGCATATGTGTGGTGGGTTTGCGGAAGCTCACTGCAGTGCGTTCTTAAAATTAAAACTGAATTTTATTGTGTGTAAATGATACTCCAGGTGAGCAGAAAAAAACAGAGGAATAAACTAGAAAAAAAACAGAACAAAAAGCCCCAAACAACCCATCAAACTCCATGGGATGAAAGTGTGCTATCGTCCCCGGAAGGTCCACTTATGAGCTTCACACGTCAGTTTTCCTCATGCCTGGGCAAACGCTTGCTGCCCCGCTCTCAGAGCTGCTGTCACACTGGCATGGCTGAGCACCGTCCCACCTCGCGCTGTAAGGCGGTGGCGTCTCCAGGGCCTCTGGTCGCAGGCGATGCCAGCCAGGCCATCTATCACTGCTGTGGTCCTGACAACCCTGCAGCTTCCTTGGGTGAAACATCAGGGTGCCTAGCGTAAGAGGGCACCTCGGAGAGCACTGCTGTTCTGGAACACAGCTCTGTGCATTGGCCTTCTTAACAGTACACGAAATACCACACCCTGATCCCTTTCCTATAAAAAAGCCAGGCACTATTCTCCAGTTTTTCTTTTTTTTCCTGCTATATCACATTCTGTCCCCTCCCTGCCAAGATGTTGTATGTTTTGGCTACTCCTATAATCTGGAATCTTCTCCAGCTTTTGACCCAGTTAATTCACAAAACCAAGACTCTGATTTCAAGCCATACAGACACTTAGACTTTCCCCATTTCAGGACTGGCACCAGCAGGAGAACACAACCAATGCATGTAGCTCCCTTTAATTTTAGGGAGAGAAGGCAACCTGTTAACCAGAAGCCTGCCAGCCTGGGCTGAGGTGCTTGGCCCAGAGCAGAATCTTGCCCACCTAGGCAGGAGACACTCAGACTTTCGGATCTGTAGCCAGTTCCCTTTCGTTGTGCTGTACGTTTCAGCTGGGGGTATCCTGGCTTCTCCTGGCTGTCCGCCATGGCCTTATCAGGCACTTGCTTGCTCAAACCTTTTTAGGATAATTTTTTATTTTCTGCCATTATAATTTCTGTCTTTCTTTTTGGAGACAGGGTCTCGCTATGCTGGCTTTGAACTCACTTTGTAGCCCAGGCTGGCCTTGAACTCATGGCGATCCTCCTGTCTCAGCCTCCCGAATGCTGGGATCACAGCTATGCACTACCACATCGGGCCTCCATTATAATTTTTTGAGGTGATAAAACCTGCACCTATTTCCACTGGAATGCAGTAGCCTTTTGATATAACTGCTGCAAAGTAGCCTTGCCACAAGCTAGGGCAGTCCATCATTTTGGACAGAGAGGTTTGACACAGCTTGCAAGGAAGCTGCCTCGGGCTGCGTGTACCTTCACAGGTCTCCTTCAGTTGGGGTGTTTGTGTTTAGAGGGGGACAGCAGCACTGCAGTTAGCTTATACCAGTCATGGTGAACCTTTTAGAGCTTTCACCGATACAAACAACCTGCTGCAGGATGTGTGCCACAGGTTCGACACCCCTGGCTTACACCTTCCTCCACATGCTGAGAACTTAAAACTCAGGCAGGCTCCAGGGAATAAAACGCAGCCCTGTCCCCCAAGCTCTTGCCAGCCAGGGCAAGGGATGCGGCCAACGTTCCCTTCTCCACCATTCCGATGTCCAACAAGCTCTGAGAACCAGTAAGTTTCTGAAAGTCACTTGGCAGCAAAACGGGTCTGAACTGGCTGCAAACTCTCTGTGGCGGGAGGCAGTTGACTGTTCTCATCAGCACTCTCCCAGGGTGTCATGTAACGCGCGGTCTCGGCGTCGCACTGACTTTCTAAACAACGTTGATTTGGTAGCACATCTGCTCCTGAGGGGTTGGCTGGGAAGCCCTGGCACGAGAGATGGCAGCTTCTTCATCCCAGGCAGCCCGGAAAGGTCAGGGAGAAAAGTGTAATCACACGTCAGGACTGGCATTCTGTGGAGCACGGGCTCCGCCGCATGTTTAATAGTCTTTAGTTTCATAATATTTCAGAAGCTACAGGCTCTGAGTGTGCGGGAAGCCCTCTGCTCCCTGCCCCTGCCAGGAAAAGGAGGAAAGGCAGGCAGAAGGCCTGAAGCTCCTGAGATGACAGGCACTCCTGGTGGTAACCACGCCCCCAGAAGGCCTCCAGGGCTTGAACCTGGCACTCAGTCTCTGTCCAAAATGGCACCACGGAGTTTAATGAATCACTCTCCCATGGCTCTGTGCAGCTAATGTCAGTAAACGCGTCATTTCATTAAAAACCAAAACTACTCAAATGGAAGTATTTCCCTTTAAAAAGCCTCCTATTCAATCGCTGCCAATGGAAAGTTTAATTGGCCTCTTGGGTCAAGCCTATTTTTCCAGTGCTCGGCCCAAGGTTTGGACACAGCAGATGTGGCAACTTGAGCCACGCATGTCACATCTCCTTTCTCGTCTGCGCCCCGCTCCTGCTCCCTGCTCCTCTTCTTTCTCTTTTCATGCCTTCCTCTCCCCAGCGTGGGGAGCATATGTAAGCAATTCTACGCCCCGGGCCAAGCAGAAACATACCAGCAACAGCTTTGCCAGAAAAGTGGGATATTCAACACTGCACTTGGCTGACAGCGACAAGTAGAAAGAGACTCGCTCTCAAGCCCAGCTCTCCGCACCGTCTCCCGCACGGGCCAGCCTGAGGCCGGGAGCCCCGGCAGGGTCTCTCTGCGGCAACTGCAGTGTGTCCACTCAGCAAGGTTTGGGCTAGTTGCTTTATAAACATCAGCTCTATTAAGTGGAGTGTATTAGTATTTTTAAAAAAAGCATTCTCTGCTATAAGAACTTTAAAAATCTTGTTTACTTGAAGAATTTCAGCAAAATGAATTTTACTCTGGGCACTATCATGAGACAGGTCTGTTCTAAAGATAAAACAAAACAGCGAGTCCTTCTCCCCAAGTGCCTCCCTGGGGCTTCCTGTCACACTGGACTTTCCACTTTCAGACACGGTCACATTCTAGCCTCGCTTCCAGTTGGTCTGCGCAGGTCACTGCAGGGGACTCTGCCCGTGGCCTCCGGCAAACCTTAGAGGTCAAGTGCGCAGCACTGGCTTTGAAATGCTGACTCTGCCCCTGGACTCCCTGACTCTGGCCTGAGCGTGAACTCCGTCAATCCTCCCTCTTCCTTTTACATTCTTTAGGATAGGAATCAAAATTGCCTTCAGTGGCAGAGCACTGAACAAGCTGTCCCTTCCTGGCTTCTGACTCTGCATCTCTTTGCAGACGACCTGGCTTCCCCTCGCCTCAGTTTCTCCATCTGTCAGCAAAATATCTCAACACTCACTTTGCTTTCAGCTCTTTGAGAAGATGTGCTCCATGGAGGAAGACCGTGCTTTATAGCTTTCCATTTGTACAGCTTCCTTGGGCAAGCCTCCAAGGGGCCCTAGCTGCACAGTGGGGAGTTTTATTTGTTTTCTGTTCATCTTTGTGTCTGGATTTGACTATGGGCTACACAAACCTAAAGTTTTGGGGCTGGGGATTTAGCTCAGCGGCAAAAAGCGCCTGCCTGGCAAGCGTAAGGTCGTGAGTTCGGTTCCCAGTACCGGAGAAAAACCAAAACCAAAAAAAAAAACCCTGAAGTTTTGTCCGTGTGAGTGAGTAAATGTTTCATTTGCCAACTGAGATTTTCATTCACAGGAAGTGACACAATACTGTGCACGAGGGCTTCCGTGTGAGGCGCCTGAGGCTCTCTGCACAAACCCTGCAGAAAGGCCCTGTGCCTGGGCTGCGGGTGCCACAGGAAGGAAGCTGAGCTGAGGGGCACGCTCGGCGCCCGCACGTGTGCTCACGTTACCAGGGCGTCTTGGCTCTCGTTATCTCAGGGTGGCCAAGCTTTGGTATGGGATCAAAGTAAAACACTGGGGCAGAGAGATGCTGATCAAAGAACAGAAGAAAATAAAGGACTGTCTTGAAAAGGCACAATAATTACTCCCTCTGTTTTTCTTTGGCTATCTTAACAGATAGCCACAGGGCAGATTTTTTTTATTAAGCTCACTGTATTAATAAACACAGAAGTGAAGGCTGAAGGTACCGTAATACACGAAGGTTACTGACAGTTGATAATACAGGATCATCAAGAACTCCTTTGTCCCACGAAGGAAGTGACAAAGAGGGTGAGAGTGGCCGTCAGGAGGCGAGATCTGCACACTAGGAGGGAAGAGCAGTGACAGAGGACACCCCTCCTGGGCCGTCCTGTGCACACGCATGCTCCTGTCCTCTCTGCCTCTCACCAGCCACACTGGTCATGACAAGCCTTGTAGGGGAGGTGACAGCTTGACTTTTGTACATTCTGGGCAGGAGGCCCCGTCAGAGGGAACACTGTGGGCTGAAGGAAAGTCCAGGGGATGTGGATAGGGCAGGGCGGACAGAGGACCTTGGACCCCAAGCTAAGGTCAGAAGTTTCTGCCTGCTGCCCATCCCCCTCCTGCCTGGAGTCCTAACCTCTTCTCACCCCATGGGATATCTGTTCCATCAGCAGGTTGGACACAGGAATGCATAGTTCAGGGCTCTGTGGCAAAGGGAGGACTGTG